AAATAAAGCCAAAAGAGCATATTTTTTCATGGCATTGTGCATTTTTCGATATGACAACTAGATCTCGCTGTGCATGTCAATATATAAAAAGTGGTTCAACTGGCCCCGCTCTCCCCTACGTAGGCGCAGATTGGTGGTCTGTCGCTGGATTATCTAAAGAAGTCGGCGTGGAGTCCCGGTGGGCAAATGCCAGCCAAATACCAGCCTGTAGGGTCCCAGCGGGCCTCAAATTGCACTACAACACGGGGAAATCTTCATTTTTTGTTTAATCTATAGCCTCTGACAACCTTAAGGTTGTGTCGGAGATCCACGGCGATTACGACTTACGGAGAATCCACCTGAGAAGCCATCAGTCTCCAAGTTGATACGTACGCATTACACTCGTCTGAGGGGGCCCTAGTGGGAAAATACTGTCTCCACTCAGCTTGATCCTTAAAGCCTGGTATGGATCATATAAAGCCAGTGTGGGGTACCATAGAGGCCGGCGTGGGCCCAGAAGCTGGTGTTAGCCCTCAGAACTCGGCAGAGCTCAGAGTCAAGCGCTCAGTCTATGCGTGTGGGCCCCCGACATAAGGCTCGGCATATAAATTCCTTAGACAAGGCACTGCCACTCAAAAACGCTCAACACCATGGGTCGGATGCCCTATTATTTTTTCCTTTAGTTAAAAAAAATCATGGTGTCAGGGCTGTGATGAAAAACAAGTGGTCTAAATCCGGTGAGAAAACAGGATTTGGGGGTACCTTAGGTTTGGCTCCTTCAGGCTCTGGCCCCCCCAGTGAAAATTCCTTAGACGAGGCCCTGGAAATCACTGCAGGCGTTTATCCGCGTTGAGCAACGGTAATACGGTAATATTTAAAACGGTAATATTTTCCTGTGTGTCGCATTTTTTAACATTTGCTTTCCAAGATTAAGACACATCTTCTCCCGTCTATCAGCGAGGCTTTCAAGTTCAAGTTTATGTAACAAATCTTGATAGGTGTTATCATACCCAGCGATCACTTTTAACGCCCGCTTTTGCACTCGCTCAATCTGCTGAGCCTGATTGGCGGTGAGGCCAGCATGGAAGACTGGCGCGCAGTATTCCAGCAGTGGTCTAATGTAAGTAACATACACTTTTAGTAGCTGTCCTTGGGGAGGGTTGAATCTTCTCAGCACATAAAGCAAGTATAAAGCTCTAGAACTTCTTGCTACTACGTCGTTGACATGTTCCTGCCACGTGAAGTTGTTTGATATTTTTACGCCTAGAAGCTTACTTGAGGTAACCACTGGGATACTTTTACCGTCGATAGTGATATCCGGCAACACTAAAGGCTTTTTCGCTGTCTGAAAATGCATCACTTGACTTTTGCTGGCGTTAATTACCATCTTGTTTCTGTTCGCCCATTCATGGATATCATTTGCCAAGTCAGCAAGTGTGCTTGTGTCATTTACACTGTCAACTGGGCATGACTGATACACTGTCAGGTCATCGACATATTTCAGCCTGTTTTCTGTGCTTCTAGCTGCATCATTGATCATTGCTAAGAACGCAATGGGCCCGAGCAACGTACCTTGAGGAGTGCCACATGTGATTTTTCGCCATTCACTAAGAGAGCCATCCGGCATTTTGACACGCTGCTGTCTGTTTTGCAGGAATGAAGAGACCCATTTAGTATATTTTGCACTCAGTCCTATATGAATCATTTTCTGAATCAATATCGTATGGTCGACAAGGTCAAAACCTTTCTTGAAGTCGAACATTATCATAGTGAAAAGTTTTCCAGGTTTCTCGATTTCCGTCAACAGGCTGTGGGTCAGGCGGATCAGGTAGTGTGTTGTGGAGGACCCTTTGATGTTACCGTATATACTGGTAAGAATCCAAGGCAGGCCTTATATCTGCTATTATCAATGGAATCACAAATTGTTCTAAGACTTAACTAAATGTAAATCAATATCAATATTGATTTACATTCAATACGATCAATAAATAGAGCGCTCTAATTTTAGCTTATTTCCCCGGTATGTCACCAACTGATGCTGGCCTTTAAAGGGACTGTCCCACCTTTGCATTAGTTCTGAGTTGAGATAGCCAAGTTGGCGGCCAGGTTCAGAAACCGCTATATATCCTGGTCGCAATATCCTCAGTTTCGTGGTGTTAAAGAAATTCGTTCCCTTCATTTGAAAAGTGGGCCTTAGCTAAGGCCCTATCTCTTGACTATTAACGGCTATTTGATGACGTCATCAGCCGTTTCACGCGTTCGACCTGTTTTACGAATAAGTTGAAAGCGGCGTATATTTATAAATATATTATATTAGTAAGTAAATATTAGTTAGTAAATATATTTGCTGCCAAATTTTCCCCCACATTGACATGAAGTATATCCTTCATTACGTCACAGATCCGATCCAAATGACGTCACGAAGAAATATAAAAGTCGCAATATCTCAAAAAGTATACGATGAAAACGCGTAAAAACTTGCAGAATTCATCACAATATCCTGAGTAACATTTCCGAATCCTAAACGGGACTTTTTTGAAGGTGGGATAGTCCCTTTAAGGGCCCATATTAATCTCTGAGGCCCCGCACTGGATTCTAAAGATCCAATGCCGGCCCTTTTATGGCCTGCATCGGCCTCTGAGGGCCCTCTGCTGGCCTCTGGGGTCCAACGCCAGCCCACGCCGGTCTTTTAGGGCCCCGCACTGACCCCTGAGGGTTCCAGCTTGCCTGTAAGGACCCACATTAGCCTCTGAGAGCTCAAGTCGGCCTCTGATGGTCTAAAACTGCCATTAAGCCCTACTGGCTTCTGAGGGCCAACTGGTCTCTGAGGGCCCAACCGGCCTCTAAACACACCGACCGCTGATGGCCCAGTTTTTGTCTTTGAGACCCAAGACTGGCCCTTATGTGCCTCTAAGGACCCCGCACTGGCTTCTGAAGGATCGATGCCGGTCTCTGAGGACACATACCAGTCTTTAAGAGCACTACACTGACATCTGAGGCCCCACTCTAGCCTCTGAGGGTCTCAAATTGTTCTTTATATGCCCCAACCGGCCTATGAGGTCTCTAAACCGGCCACTGATGGCCCTATTTTGTTCTGTGGGGGCCTAAGACTTACCTTTGGACGTCACGCACTGGCCTCTGAGGGCCCACATCGGCCGATGGGGCCGGGTTTTGCGGCCCTGGCACGACCCTTACTGAACTTACTGAAGAAGAACGTGCCCATTTATTCACCGAGGAGTGCAGGGAGTCTTTTGAGGCGCTGAAACGGTGTTAATGCGAGAGTCCGATGCTCCGGTTATACCCCGACTTCTGGCGGGTTACCCATTTCACGTCTACACCGACGCGAGCTGACGAGCACTGGGAGCGGCGCCGCATCAGAAGTTTGAGGATGGTTCTCACCCTATAGCTTACGCTAGCCGGGTGTTGACGCCGTCCGAGCTGACGCAGTCTTTGCTGGTAAAAGAGAGCCTGGTGGTCGTCTTTGCTCTTTGAGAAGTTTTTTGCTTCCTTGACGGTCGGCATTTCATACTGACCACAGACAACAGCGCTCTCAGAGACCTGCTACAGGCCAGAACGGAACCCAAGTGCTCCTCACGACTTGCGAGGGATGCACTGAGGCTGCTTGATTTCGAGTTCGAGGAGCGGCATCGCCCGGGGCCCGAAATACCGCACGTGTATGGACTGAGCCGTTTGTCTTGGAGGGCAATGAAAGAAGGACAAAGCCAAAAAGTGACCGTGGTCGGTCATCGACCTCGACTCGTGCACTCGGTCGGTCTGTACCGTCATTAAGATGGGAATCAAACCGCTGAATGCCGAGGAGCTGCGAGCAGAGCAGCTCAAGAATGAACAGTTGTAGCCGATTAAGCGATTTAATGCATTCTGAAAGTACTAAGGTGTCACATGCATAGGCAGAAGGATGTGGGCACGCGTTTCATGATCGAAGGTATGCCTATTACCGCGTAACTTCTTCGTTTTTTTTCCAAATATATATAAATTATTCTCCCTCGTTTTTTAAATTAAAGTGGCCGAAATCCAACGAGAAACGCAAATTTGGGGGTAGGTGGGTATTGGCGACCAGACTCAAGCAAAGGTTTGTGGCGACGCCCTGGAAAATTGTCCCTAGAAGTTCTGAAGCCGTGGTGACGCCGCTGGTCCCGGGCCCCGGGTTGAAGGGCTATGAGGGGTTAAAACAACCCATGAAAAAGTAACGGAAAATCAGAGTAAGCTAGGATCCATTGAGGACGGCAAACGGGTGCGCCAGTAGTGAACTTGTGGTTTCCAGCTTGTAGTGGTTGAGGTAAGCTTGGAATGCACAAAAATTCAGAATGGTAGTTCATTTCTTTAAAATAATAAAATAGGTGGATAGCGTGTTTTGTTTTAGCAACCAAAGGAAGGCGCTACCCGAACATTATCCGGGTAGCGCCTTCCTTTGGTTGCAAAAACGAAATACCCCGTCTCGTGGTCTATGTCTGCCGGGTCCCAATTTAAAAAGCAGTAGCAGTACTGACATAGGTAGGTACTGATGGCACTGAGTACCGAGTGGCAGGTACTGATGCCAGTGCGTTTTTAGGGTTTTGTGCTTGGATTCTGCCAGAATGCTTTTTTGTGTACAGGTCAAGGTAGTGCTGGAAATTTGGCCTTGTGGTTTAAATACACGCTGTCGTTTGGGTGATTTTTTTTTAACTCGCTAAGGTATGTAGGTAATGTTGTCATACGTTCGGCAAAAGTTAGCAAAAAAGCAGAAAACCATACATTTTTAATGAATGTTTTTGCTGGGCCAAAGTTGCCACACTAGCATGCAGCATTGGCCACTTGCATTTTCAAGAAAAAATAATATGTATGCAGTGCTGCATCGCACACGAATTTGTCATTTTCGAAGAGCCAAGGGTGGCCTCTATCCAGGCCCTGTTGCTTAACATTGTGCACAACCAGATGACTGAATTATTGAGGCTTAACGAAAAAAGTGGGCCAAAGTTGCACGAAACTACGGTAAGTTTCAATTTCCCACTCTGATTACTCGTACAGAAAGTGCCTTTCTACAATGGCGGTTGGTCTGTCAGCCGCTCACCCTGCTTCGAGTTGTACTGCTCCTCGGTCAGTTCGTACTTCTGAATACCGCTGGTATCCTCGAACTCTCCCTTGTGGCACGTCTTGTCCTCCACCTGTGGGCAAGCATCGTAGGCCCCATCAGCCACGAGGCAGACGCCAGCCCCACAGACAGCCCGCGTACGCCAGCTCCACGGACAACCCGCGGACACCAGCTCCACGGACAGCCCGCGGACGCCAGCTCCACGGACAGCCCGCGGACACCAGCTCCACGGACAGCCCGCGGACACCAGCTCCACGGACAGCCCGCGGACACCAGCTCCACGGACAGCCCGCGGACACCAGCTCCACGGACAGCCCGCGGACGCCAGCTCCACGGACAGCCCGCGGACACCAGCTCCACGGACAGCCCGCGGACACCAGCTCCACGGACAGCCCGCGGACACCAGCTCCACGGACAGCCCGCGGACGCCAGCTCCACGGACAGCCCGCGGACACCAGCTCCACGGACAGCCCGCGGACACCAGCCCCACCGACAGGTCATGAACGGTCACCAGCAGTTTTTTGGCTATAACTTTTGATAGAGACGTGCCAGAGCGATGAAAACAAGTCAGATGTATTCAGCTCGACGATACGGATCAACTGATATGCAACATGACCCTTTCCGGTTACCTTGACCTCAGGTCAAATTTTCAAAAGGATGGTAATTTTCTCAGCACTAAAAACCGGTCATTTTGTGGTATTTTCGGCAAAACTAGGCATTTCCAGTTAATTTGAGGTATAAAAGGGTCATTTAGCATCTAACCAGTTATAACACCTATTTAAGGGACTTTAGCACTACTATCAGTCTAATTCGCAGTACTTTTAGTTTGAATGGCACCTAATGGAAGTCATTTCGCACTATTTTTGGTAGATGTTTAGGCATCCCTACTAAATCTAGAAGGATTTTAGTATATTATGGAGAAATAAACTACAATACTAGTCTGTAATAGCTACAGATTGTTTGTTGCCAGGTCGATTATCGTCTGTTTCGGCGCATGCGTTTTGAGAGGACCGATAGGACGCAAGGCGCGCTTCTTGGACGGATTTGGCAAGGAATTTGGATAGATTGATTTACGTACCTAGCCTCAGCGTGTGCCGATCATCCTGCCTTTTCTTGTCCAAGAGTGAACTGAGCGAGGTTCTTAGCATGGAGATTGGAGAGTGATGACGATTTCCGCGAGGATGTTGGGTCCTACCGTCCGCCCAAGCGTACTGGTCCGCCAGTGCTGCTGTCTTTATTCTGTCAGGCTATCTAACGGCGCTATGGGCATGTAGATTGTAGATACAGCATTGCAGTAGCAAATGCTTATCATGTGCGGTGGAATTTTCCCATGCTTAGTAGGAAGCGCTCGACGTCCCTTCCGTACGTGTCGTGGAAGGGACGTGTCTGTCATTGACGCACATCAACTAGATGGATCTTGATTGTAGCATTTCGCAGCAGCGTTTTATCGTTCAGCGGCCTAACGCCTAGCCAGCTCTCATTTCGAGGGGAGGTACTTTGCTGAGGAGCATGAGTGGTCACTATTGGTGCCAATCGGAATTTCTTTTCTTGGAATTCCAATTTTTGTCCAATTCCAATTTGGAATTTGGACGGAATTCTTAACATTTTTTGGAAATTAATCGGAACACAAGGCCTTTAAAATTTAAAATTTTAAAACGGAGGCCTTTAAAACGCTTTTAAACACATAAAATTTACGCAAAAAAAAATGCAAAAATCGTTAAAAATTGGAATAGCCCCCGCTTTGGACAAAATTGGAAATTTACTTGGCAATTTCTTGGAATTGGATCGGAATTGGAATTGAAATTTCATGAAATTGGCACCACTAGTGGTCACGCTGCATCGTGAGCCAGATGAAGCCGGTGAGCAGACCGCCCAGTAAACATGACGACGTCGGCCCGACGTCGGGCCGAGGCTCGGCCCGACGTCGGCCCAACGTCGGTTCAACCTCGGCCCGACATCGGCTGGACGTCGGGTATGCCCGCATGTTCCGACGTCCAGCCGAAGTCCAGCCGACGTCGGGCCGACGTCGGGCCGAGATCGTTTGCCGAGGATGACGAGATCGTTTGTCGTTGAACCGACGAGGCCGACGTCGGCATGTTTATTGGGACAACGCGCCAAAAACATCAACGGGCTGCGGGATTCGAGCCCCCAGTCGCCGACGTCGGCATGTTTACTGGGACAACACGCCAAAAGCATCAGCCGGCTAGGGGATTCGAACCCCGTGTCATACGAACGCTACGTTAGTGCGCTAACCACTACACCACGCACCCAGCTAACGAATTCGGTTTGTTTTGTTGGGTTATGCCCTTTCGGTCTGACAAGACCATTTCAGAGCCGGAAGGATCATAGGATGGAGACATTGGTCTTCTTGGCGAGCACCCTGGGTCCAGTTCATATAGAGTCCCTGGTCCCATTGCTGTTACGTGACACTTATTGGAAAGGGCGACCCCACAATGGATTCATATAGCCACTCTTACACACCTGCACCAACGTTTCCCAAAGTGTCCCTTTGATAAGTGGCACTTTGGCAAAGTGACACTTGCCGACTGGCCTTTCTATATGAACTGGGCCCGGCCCTGGTGAGTTGCCGGGGCTGAGCCTGACCAAAGGATAGGCCGAGCAGCCCCCAAGCACTCACCGCACCCGGCTACCGGCGAGCTCGGCTTACGGGCAATCCCAAATGGGATAAAGTTTCCCGTCCAGTCCGGATCAGGGGGTTGCGGCGTGGAGGAAGATTTGAGTTTCCTGAGGATATTTTGAATACAGAAGCTCTTTATGAAACATGAAACATGTATTTTACATTATTTTAACGGTCAAAACAGCGGCCGATGTCGGTCCGACGTCGCCCCGACGTCGGCCCGACGTCGGCTGAACCTCAGCAATTGATCTCGGTCCGACGTCGGCCCGACGTCGGCTGGACCTCGGCTGGACGTCGGAACATGCGGGCATATCCGACATCCAGCCGACGTCGTGCCGAGGTTGGACCGACGTCGGACCGACGTCGGCATGCTGATGCCGAGTTGCCGACGTCACCCCGACGTCGGCCGACGTCGGGCCGACGTCGGCATGTTTACTAGGCGTGTACCGTACATTTGCGTACAGTACATGATTTTGTCCCACGAACCTAACCGATGCGCATTTTTGTCCACAAATTTACCTAATATATACCCAGCATGCCTATTAGTCGTTAGGGGGCAGCACCGGGCGTGGTGTATTGCGTAGAGGGCAGGACCTATGCAACAAAACTTGCTCCAATTCCGTTTTCATCGTGGAAGTAATACGCTGAATGGAGAATCATACTTTGATGTCCAACTTACGTACAACATAAAAAATAAATACCTCAAGGCTCAAGAATACTGTGATCATAGCAGTAGCTCGTGCTCGGCAGTGAAATCATGAATAGTGCTCATATACCGTATTTAGTGCAAAATGAGCTACCACACACCCATTTATTATGCCAGATCTGGCATCGCCTCTATACTAACTAAAATAGTGCGGAATGACCGGATATACCTGTGTTTGACAGGAATTGCCTGCGAAAAGACGATAGTGCAAACTGAACTTATGATAGTGCAAAATGACTGAAATTTAGGTACTGAAAAAATTATCCCCCTTTTCAAAATGACCTTTCAAGGCTAGCGAATGGTTTCACGACGCGTCTCAACGAAAGGAACACGATGCTGGCAAAAGTAATGTCGTGGCTTGCTTGAATCAAAAGTTATTACCGAAAAAACCTTGTTCATGAATACGGCTATTTTTACTGTTCTTGCTCTCTGGAGGCTAAACCGTTGACCTGAGGTCAAATCTGAGAACAACGCTCAGAAAGGTCTGTAAAAGGGCTATCGAATGCGCTTTTCCGCGGCGCTGTAGCTCTATTGGTTCCCGAGTTAGCCGCTGGCAGTTTTCAAATTTTTTGAAAATGCCTTGATGACTCTTGACTCTTGATGACCTCTGGCGACCTGTGGCCATTCTTATACAGAAAAGAACGGAGGGACGCTCCGTCATTTCTGAGATTAGACGGAATTTGGTTATCATAAAAGGACGAAGACGGAAGACGGGACCCGTTCAAAGAACGAAGCCAGATTGACGCTACCCCCACCCAAAAAGACGCGTTTCCGCATCATAAAGAGACAAAGACGCCTCTGGTGACGAAGACTTTGCGTTGTTAGTGAAAAATAACGTATCAGAAATAGCGCTGCTCTTCAGCAGCGCTTTTTATGGCATTGGTACGACGGTTAGCTGCTTGCGAAAAAAAAAACTTTGGATGATTGTATGATTGTATGATTGTATGATTGTATGATGTATTGATCACCAAGAGGTAAAAACGCAATAACAGGTGAAGTCAGCGCATGCATATAACAGGGGCGGATCCAGGATTTTTCGGGAGGGGGGGGGGGGCGGCAAGTCGAAATAGGGGCGACCTGGCAATCCGGGGGCGCTCCATACAAAGGGGGCGCCAAACCGTCAAAATCGGGAGCTAAAAGCCCGCGCCGTGCTAGGGGGCGTTATCGCGCTCCCCCTCAGGTTTTTCGCAAATATCTGAAAAACAGCTGCGCGCAGCGCCGCCATTTTCAGCATACCTTATCATGCATCTTTTTTGCACATGTTGTAAAAATGTCTGACGCGGGTGATGGAAGGTCAGGTCACCAGGTTATGCCAAGTGACCTAGCCTAAGAAAAAGTTCAAATGCTTACCATTGCTATACCGACTGAACGATTGCTTTGAACCTTTCAGCGATTGATGAAAGCAACACTATTCACGAAATGTATATCTCGGAATTTCGATATCTGTGACCAAAGGTCAGGTCAGTTGTGCGACGTCTCCATTAGGTAGGTAGGTATAATTAAGTCTTTGGGAGAAAACTGAAAGGCATCCCTTTTGGACGAGCGCCATTCTAGACAATATCAAGCATTGGGATACATATAAAATTAACACACTGAATAAGAACATTGCACCTAGTGTGACCAGTCATTATGTCCCAGAGGTCATCCCATGTCATGAAAGGTCCGCAACAGTTTTTTTTTAATAACTTTTGATAGATTCAAGCTAGAGCGCTAAAAACACCTCAGCTGT